CCACAGCAAGCTATTATGCACTCACCTTTAGACAGGAAAACCTTTTACACCTTTCTTCGAATATTTCAGCTATACAAGAAGTAATCTGTTGGATCGGACCTCACGGGCCAGCATTTGTTCTCGATAGAAATCCACACCCGTGCAGGGACTACACCATCGTTCCTTCAATGAACCTCTTTTGATGCATACAGTACTGACCACTGCAGATCAAGACCCCCCCTCACCACCACCACACAATAGCTGCAGTTATGGAGATGCTCTCATCAGGTTCTCTATCCACAATCTGGTCGTTTCCAAGCTCCCTCAAATCCTTATGCTTGACTTTTTTTTTTTTTTTCTTCTTATACCTGATCAGTTTATACGTATTGCAAGTTTAAAATGCACAGAAGAATTTAATGGTTTTTTTAACTTGGAAAATGTTATATTGTGTACTACTGCAGCAAGCCTTTTTGAAAATGGGACCTCACATGTAAAATTAAAAGTAACAAATACATTAACTCATTGGAATCACACTTTCAGACAAGATTTCAAGTTTAGATAAAGCACATTATGAAATCAGTGCTAAGTAGCAAGGACAGATGACAATTGAGCCCTAAAAGTTGCTTTCTTAACTCTCCTAATCACCCTGTTGTTCCAATTTGAGGTTTGTTCAGTAACTTGCCAACAAAAAGTCCGTTTGCAGTGATAAGTATATCATTTCAACAACGGAGACGTTTTCTGATCCCATTTATATCAACCCAGTTTTGCCCAGTTACATAGTTCAGCATGTGACCTCTTTTTTTTTTTTTTTCTTTCTTCAAGAAAGTTTTCCAGCCTCTTGAAAGAATTATTTTGGGGTGAGGTTTTAATCAGAAACCCAAAGGGCCCTAATTCACAGAGGCAGCCGATACATCAGTCATATGAAACGGTCACATGTATCTCTCTGCTCTTTAAAGAAGGCTATCTTGTGATGGAGACAAACTCAGCTCTGTTTTTAGGACATTAAGTGTGGGATTGCTGTGTCTCCCACATGACCCGACGCTTCACTTGCAGCTGATCCAGGACTTCTCTTCTTCTGCTTCCCCTGCTTATCTCTGTAAGCATGTGCCAGGCCATCTGAAGATCACGCTGGAGTGAAGGAGTAGGATTGGGATTTTTATTTTTTTTTAAGAGTTATTGAGGTCAGGGAATGTGGAAAGTAGAGCAGAGCCATGGTGGTTACATCTTGAAATTCCATGACATTCTTCCAGGACATCTGAATGTCTTTGGAGAAATAAGAACACAGAAAAAAAAAAAAAAAATGACAGAAGAGCAAACGTCTGCATGTCTATATAAAATGTAAATTATAATTGTTGTAATGGTTCAATAAATTGCAAAACAAATTTTAAACGGACTGGAAACTGAGTAAGCAATACATGACACATTTTCAAGATGAACACAACACACTTAAGGAAACTTCAATGACACAGTTTATTTATCACCACTTTATCTGTGTATGTGTGTGTGTGTGCGTGTGTTTTTCTTGTGTGTTTTTATGCGTGTATTTGCCATATTCATTTATGTATGCAACTTGTTTCTGTGTTATGCATGTGTCTTACTCATATGATTGTAAAACTTCTGAAATCTTGCTGGATTGTTATAGTTTTTTTTTTGTTTGGTTTTTTTTTTTCCATCCTGTACATCACCAAATATTCTGCTTGGAAAAATACAATACAAGTCAAAACAACTTAAACGGTGTCTTTGCAGCACACAACAAGGCCTGGCATATGTAAACAGTGAAAAGTAACAATCGTTTAAAAAACATTAACTTAACTGTTGGTTGGCGTAAGGTTTGTAGAATATTCACTCCTCCTTTAAATAAAACAATACACATCTTGATTTTGTAGCACTTTGTATTATTAGATTGAGAGACATAATGAAGTGTAAAAACTAATCAATGGTTACACAGTTTTCAGAAAAAGTATATTGTATATATATATATATAGTTTTATATATATATAGATATAGATTTATATTCATTTATAAGCTTTTAAAATAGTACAGTAAACACTTTGCACACATGATAAAAACCACTGAGTGTGTCTGATTGGTTATGTATAGGCCAATGGCATCAAGAGAACCAGATCTCTATGATGGGTCATTACACTTTCTTTGCCGTCAGCTCAGGAAGGACCTTAAGAAACGATAAGAAGCATTTGAAAAATATGAACAAACGTGAAACATTCATTTTCTGGTATTTTATTCCTAAACAAAAATGAGATTCAACATTAACACAGTGATTTGTCCAAATCTCCTTCCTGAAGTGGCTAGCTAAGCTTGAAAGAGGACTAAGCCCAACTCTGGACCACAAGTTCCTGTCTAAAAACTGTGAGTTTGAATATTCTAGAGTCTGCACACTTGAACCACACAGAAAGAACAACAGAAACAAAAAAAGAGAAGGTATATAAAGACAGTCAAGTCAAAAAACCGGAGATACAGAATCTATAGTACTGCACTTGTTTGCTTTTTTTTTTTTTAATTCCTGTACATTACTTACTCCTTTGCACTTTTTCTCGCTTTATCTGCTTGCCCAGTCTCTTCTTGTCAGTCTCCTTCTTCCCCCCAAAAACAGTCTCTGTACAGCTGGCTTAGTGGTGATTGTAGAAATAGCTAAAGGGTTCAGTGTGACATTGGTTGAAGTTTGTACAGAAGCATTTTCTCTCGATGTAAACAGGCACACACATATTTCTAGAGGCTAACTCCCTCCCAGGAAGGGGGGGCAGGGGGGGAAATAACACCTCTCTAATTTAATTAGTCCCCCTTACTCACTTTGATATTTCAATTCCTTCACTTTGTAATCTTATACCATTATAATCTTCATGTGGTCAAGAGTTTCACGCCGGTCTCAGTCCTGCTGAGAGAAATAAGGCCTTGAATTGCTCCTTGGGTATCAAGAGGTTTACAGCTACTCAGTAATTATTTCTCCTTTTTCCTCCCTCAGCAGCCACCGCCAAGGTTTCGTTACAGTTCGCCACCCGAGAAAATGAAGTTTTGCCAAGGTTGCTGCTGTCCAGGTTGCCGTTTGTTTTTGTTCTGTTTCACTGTCTTTAGCATCAGTGTTGATGGTGTAGTACATAAATTCACGCTGTCTCCGACAGGTCTACGTGGAATGAGCTAGCAAATCCTTTTGCGGGCTGAAAAAAAAAAAAAAAAAAAAGAAGAAACACACTCGTTAAGACAAATGAAAACTTTTTTTTTTTTTCCCTGCAGGCTTTTTAGTGCCACAATCAACTAGAAATATTGTCTCTTGAAGGATACATACCACAAAGGATATGTGAAGTTATTAATACACCCTAATCGCTGGTCCTTACAGTATGCTACTGTAAAGCTAATTTGGGAATGGAGTGAAAACACGTCTATCAGTCAGGATAAATTGTCAAAACCGTGTGGCTGCTTAATGCATGTGTAACAGATACAAAGAGCTCTAATTGCTTCATTAATTATCAATAAATGGGTCATTAAACATTTACTAAACCTTTTACAAGCGAATCCTGATGATCAAAGGATTACCACAGTAGCGTTCACAGCTATTTTTAAATGCAAACATGGCGACTATGGTTAACAGTCTCCGCTTGAGATTGCCTTTAAAAACTGAAGAAATTCTAGATTAAAAAGATATGAGATAAGGTAAATGCGAATGAAACGAGTCAATTTTCCCCCACCGCAAAGCGTACATCGTGAACAGCTGCGCAGACCGTTTTAATTCGGAGTGAGAAATACCCCAGAATCTAAAGTCTCAATGCTAATTACTTTTCAAACAAGCTGATGTGAAAGTGAAGGAATCGCTTGTCTCTGCTAAGTCACAAAAAAAAAAGTAGAAGACAAAACAGGTTATTGTGCTCGTCATTTACCTGAGAGACAGCCCACAACCAGCATGCAGGATCATGGATGATGGTGGTTAACATGGTGTTGAGATGACTGGAAATGACTTCCCCACTGAATGTGTATATCAAATCCATTTTCTACTCTTAGAGCTAATAGAATATTCATGTAATGTGGGAGCTTTGAAAGAATAGGCCGCTTGAAATGTTCTGCCCATCTACCTTTTTTTTTTTCCTTTTATGAAACCCATTCAGCTTATTTGGAAATGGAAATCCAAATCTTATGCCAATGCGCATCAATAAATTTCACTTGGCAAAGTGAAGCCACTTTATTCTCTGCTTATTTCCAACATTGTTGAAAAGAAATTGCGCGTCTGTGACTTTTCTAGCTGGAAAATCTTGAACTTGTGGTGTGAAGTCTTCCTCGTCATCCCTCTCTATGTCAGCTATCGATCCACAAGTAAGCAAGTATAGACACTTGGGTTCCTTTTCAGAGCAAAACGGACATACTCCTTGTAGAGAAGAAGAAGCGTGGGCTGTGCGCTTCACCTCTTGAGCTATTCAGTAGGGAAGTCAGAATGCTCATGCTCAAAAAGTATGATGAAAAAGTGAAGATAGATGTCCTCTACATTAGATAGTCTGTCCTTCTTTTCCTTTCCTTTGTGTTCAGTCAAATTGCATCAAGTATTTAGCTGCTAGTAAAAGTACATCTCAAGAAACCAGAAATCTTTATTTCAGTAGTTCAGTCCAACACTTGAAACTCATTAATTACAGAGATTACCTAAGATAGAGATTACCTGTGATGTTGTTATGGCCTAGTTTCACTAATTGTCCTTCAGACAGCTACTGACAGCCTCTACATGAAGGGTAAGGTTCAAAAGTTATGCATTTAAGCATGTTAGTGGAAGGCAAAAGTGTGATTTAAAAAGCCACAAGAGCCAGGGAAGCCAGGGAAGTTTTGGAACAATTGTAAAAATAGACTATTTAAAAATTTGTGGATTATCCATATATATTAACCAGACATATTTATATCCAAGATATGGGCTACAGTTGTTGCATCCTACGTGTTACACTAAAGACGTCATCAGAAGGGTTTCACCTTATTAGAGGAGAAAAGGGGATTGAAATGTTACTCAGTGGTACAAACAGTTTTTTTTTTCCTTTTTTAAGGTGAAAACATATTTTTGTTATTTTTTTTTTAGAAAAGTTTCCAGAAACAAGAGGAAGAGTAATAAGACTGGATGTGGATATCCACATCCAGTCAGTGAGGATGTGGTTATCAGTGTCATCTGTTGGAGTCGGTTCGCCATGTTTTAGCTGGTTAGAGATCAGTGCAAATGTTCATCTGCTAACAAGTTTTATGGAGAGACTGGCTTCAATTTGTACCTGGACTTGACGCCTGTCCACACTGCCAAGAGTACAAATAAATGCTTTAATGACAATGGTAACACTGCATGACTGACCAGCAAACAAACCATTCAGAATCTATGAAGTACTGTAAGAAGAAACATCACAGCAAAGCCACAGCCCGATCGCCTCTCTACCAGGCTGTAAGGATGCAATATTTCATGTAAACGGAACATAATAATATACTGCATGTACTGTGCAGGAAATGTGCAGTAAATCTTAACCTCCTAAGAAACTAACTTTAGGATTTTTATGATCTATAAACCATAATCATTAAAATTAGCATAAATACTTGAAATATATTACTCTGTATAATATAGCTATATATAATGAGTTTCAGTCTTTGAATTGAATTACTGAAATAAATTGCCTAACTTACTCAGATGATCTTGTATGTCCGTGTGTGCTTTGCACATGATTCATGCAAGTGTTGCTGACCTTTACTAATATGAGCATCAGATAGGAAGGATTTTAAAGGGAGGGGTAATTTGGAGAAAAGGAAAAAAAAAGTGGCCACAGCAGAATAGCACGAGTCAAATTTCTTTTTAGTTTATTTCAAAATAAGTCCTGTGATTACAGGCAGTATTTAGGGGTTATGGAGGGGTTAGGTTAGGTTAAGGATTTTATGTAGGTTTTGGAGAAAGAGGGTATGCAATTAATACATTTTACACTTGAAAAAAAAAATCATATTACAAAAAAAACTAAAAAAAAAAAACTACTGAGACAAAATACAAGAAAATATAAAGCCTTTTTCTCGAACACCTTCAAAAGCAGAAGAAATAAAAGTTGATAACCAGCATATAAAGTCCAAATCAGAATCAAGAGGTATATTCAATGTCCCCCTCCTTTAGTTTCTATACTGGACCAGACCAAAATCGTAGGGTCCCAGTGAGGTTTCATACTGATACTCACAGAGAAAGGTTGGTTTGTACGGTAGGGTCCCCCTATCATACTCTTTCCTCTCTAGCGTGCTGGAGCTGTACTGCTGCTGTTGCTGATGGAGGTGATTTTGAAGGCTGTGGTGTGACTGTGATCTTTGGCCGTCCTTGCCAAAGGTGGAGAATGACCTATCGTTGGACGAGGCGGTGGAGGAGGTCATTGTGAGTTGGTCGGATAGGTTGACGGAGCAGGGTACCTCAGTGTCGGGTAGCGTGGCGTCCATGCCAGGGACGTGCAGATTGCTGCGGTAGTCCGGCCCTTGGCGCCCATCTGATGGCACAAAGGACGGCATCCAGCAGCGGTCAGAGTGACCCAGGGCCTTGCACTCCTCTGTGCAGTTGGAGAACAGGTCAGCACCTGCGGAGAACATTCAAACAGGTCAGTCTAAGGTGGAAGCAAAACACATAAAGATTGAACATTATAAATCTGGCATTGAGGATTAGGAGATGACAAAAAGAAGGAATTAGACACCGTGATATTTGGTGGTGGATAAAAGCCAAACTGAAAGCGAGATGGTAAGAAGACACTGTGAGAAGCAGCACGAGCTAGCAATCCTTCACCAGTGTCAAAAGCAGGAAACGTGCAGTAGCATTTACTCGTCAAAGGACAGAGCCAGAACTGATCAGGAGAAATGTTTGCTTTTCTCCTCACCCCTTTCATTTAGAAAGAAATAAGCAATCAAAGTGATGCGAGGTAACAAAAGCACTTCACCACCCTCACCACCCTGCTCATCTGTCATCCTCTGACACTCATTTGATTGTGAAACACCAAGAGACAAAACATGAATTCTTATTTCATAATCCCCCCCCCAAAAAAAATGACAATCACTGCAAGGAAATGTGACACAAAAGTGAACAAAATACTCAGTGTTTAATTCCACTCTGTCAATCATCTTTAGAGAAAATGACTGACTGTAATAAACACAAAAGCTACAGCCAAAAAATTAGAACAGCAGAAAGATGATCAAATTAATATCTGAAATTATATAATGGAGCACCGAGCCATGAATGGGGAAGAATATTGTTAAAGAATATTAAGGGAAGTGGCAAATTGGAAAAACAGAGAATAACAGACATAAATGGCCAGAAGTCTATGTCTGCTACATGGCTGGACATGATGTTTGCAGATCATAAAACTGATCTGTAAACATGTTAATACTAAAACAGACTTAAACAAGTAATGGTTAAACATTAAGCCAGAATTAAGAAATAGCTAAAACCCCCAAAAAACAAACAGTTTTTTGGGGGTTTCTTGCACCTTTTGCTGTCTTGCTGGAAATGTTGTCACAACACCGCCAGAAATTAGGTGGGTAGAAAATGTGATTATAGTTGTTTGCTAGTTGAGACTCTAACATACTAGTAGGCAGCTCCTCACGTCAATGCTGATGAGGGAATCATCAGTACTGAATTCCACATTATTACGTCAGAATATACTGACAATCAACAGCTGCAGTAGATACAAATGGAGACAATTCCACTTTGGTGTGATCGTCTTACTGGATCCGATTCAGCTGTGAAGGTTTCAGGTTTGCTAAAACATGGAAGGGCATGAATCAAACTTTTTTGCAACTTTTCTTTTCTAGTAGTGCTATGACACAGCAACACAATATCAGAAAATCCATTTGATGATGATTCTGATAAATACCGTGATGAATATCAGTTGTGATAGATTTTTCTCACTCAAACTCTTTCCTCATGTACTTCGACCACTCTCTGTGACCTCTAGCATCATGGAGCTTGTAACTTTTGGGGGTTGTGGGAATCTGCTGCATTGACATTCTACCCAATAGGCTGGATACTATATTGGCAGGCGTAGTGTGAACTTAAATCATTTGAAGTATATTAGCCATTTCACTGCATTCCAAACAGCCTGTTGCGGAATTAATACTGCTGCAATGACTATAGGTTTGCAATACACACAGCAACTCGCATCCATAATTGAGAAATAATCATCCATCCATCCTTTGTTTATATCTCATTTTCTCCACAGGGTCACATGGGACGTGGTACCTATCTCCAGCAATCATTGGCAAGCCATGATTATAAGAATTAAAAAAAAAAAATAAAATACTTGACTGATAACTAATTATAACTGAACAAGTTGGGGATGATAAAGACAGGAACTCTGGACTCCTCATTCGAAAAATTTGTAGATTATTAAAACTTACAGAGAAAGAAACATGAGCAATTTATAAGGCTGCCTTAAAGCTGATTGTGCACGTTGAACCATTTTTCACTTTTGTTTCTTATGTCAGATTGGATGCTACTGCTCTACTTGTCTATGTATTTCAGACATGCCCCTTCTGTCTGATGGCAATTTAACAAGTTTCAAACTAAGAGAGTGTGGAGTTCCCCACCATGCGCTCAAAACAATAAACTCCCTCAACTTTTACCGCAAGCTCTCTGGAAACTTGCTGGACTGCATATTTTGCTCCTAAGACTACATCTAATGTACATATATCTGCAGATATTGATCAGCAAATGGGTAAAAACATCAGTAATTCAAAGTAGCTTCACCTTTTTTTTTATCCAAGCACAGACTTGAATGTTAAAGACAGAAGTAGACCGAAACTAAATTTTTAAAAGTTCACAAAGCAAAACCAATGAACATATTAACTTTGATTTAACTCTTGGTGACATTCATTAGATCATTCTAATTTTAAAACTCTTTCAGCAATTCCCCAACACTTTTATCTTCCATTACACTGTCAAAGAACTGCCACTGTGACTGATTCTGTTTTCTGTGTTTGTGTGCATGGTGTGAATCTAATGTGGCAACTAATTGAGGCCCCCACGGAGTGCAAGAAAGGCAATAAGACTGCACAGTGGACATAGAGCCAGTGAAGACACACGGCTCACAGGCAGCGAGGGCCAAAGAGGCTCAGGGAGCCATCGATTTCACAGACAGCAACGACAGGCGGGAAAAAGGCGACAGCACAGCAGGAACCATCAGGAAGGAGAAGGGAGACCTGCGCGGTCACAGATGGATAGAGTGATGGTCAGATCAAAACAGATGGAGATCAAAGAGGGGTTAAAGAGGCAGGCAGAGCAAGGAAAGACTTTGATTCAAATGAAAGAATGTTAGAAATATCTCACTACATGTGCGTGTTTAAACAGGCCCGGATTGGCTAATCGGGAGCACCGGGGCATTCTCCGGTGGTCAGGTGTGCAGTCCTGGTAAATGGTATATGTACCCGTACTTGTACGTGTTTATCAGTTCCAGAGTCACTCTACATTCAGTCATTCACCCATTCACATGCACATTCATGTGCTGATGATAGCAAGCTACTGGACAGTAGCCACAACTGCCCACAGTGGCAGTGTGACAGGACACCAATGCCACCAAGACGTTCTCACCACCACCAGCACAAACTTGTTTCCTCTCAGCCTCTTCTGGTAAGTTACATGAACATAAATGCACTGCATTGTACCCCGTATCCTGATTCAATATGCCTGAATGAAATAAATGGTTCATTAGCAGGCGTCTGCATGCACAGGTGACATGCTGAGAAGTTTCAAATGTGAGAGAGCTGTGTTTTATCTTGGGCATAACTCAAACCTGTAGGACAGCAGTGATCTAAACCATGTCATCATAGTGATGGCTTTGTGAAAATGTTTTTTTCTTGTTCTTTGCAATCATGCAATACTTTGTTTTGCAGTACCACAGTAAATCTCATAAAAATGAAGTAACATGAGAAAACACAAACATGGTTCAACGGGTGTGAATACTTTTGGAATGCATTGTAAATATATTGGCCTGTAACAGTTTTATAATGGTTAAGAAAATATGGAAAAACTTAGGGGCTTGTAGATGTAAAGACATACCTTCCTTATTTCATCACAAGATTCTCTTTGAACCTACGACCTGCATCTACAATCCTCTATTATTTACTTGAGTAAAACGTGCATAAAAAAAGAGGAGATGTACGAAATCTCTCATTCATAGCTGGCAGTTGCTTTCTTCTCTCTTCTACCCAACATGTTGCATTTTATTTTTCACTTTTTTAAGACATCTCATACATATTCAGTTTGTATGCCCTTCTCCCATCCGAGAGTGCCACACGACGAGCACAAATCAGGACTTTTGCTGCCAAAGGTTCATCCCAGCCTAGTACACAAGAAATGCCGCTCAGTAGAAGCAAGAAGGGTGGCTGGAAACGTGGAGAATATATATGAAGAAATCTCCGCATCTCCAAGAGGATCAGCACAGTTAATGCTGTTCTGGGCAGCTTTTGTAAATGCCAGCTATGTTTTTGAGAGCCATTTCCTTCAACATACACTCTGATTCACCTTTTATGCTGATGTATATTTATAGCATCTTTAAAGGTTGGATGCATATAAATCATTGCATTTCTGTAATGCCCATCAAGCTGTTGGCCTTTAGCCTTTTTTATAGACTTCCCACAAATGCATGCACTCTCCTGACATAGAGGACATTGACCTCGGGTCCTCCTGTCATCTCTTTGCCATTGTGCTGCTAAGGTTTTCTGGAACCTGCGATGTGTGTGTTCTTCTAAATTTGGAAGCAAATCAGCAGAAGGACTAAAGCACAGGTGCAAAACTAACAAAGGCCCATGCAACTGTGGAGAAGGCAGGAACACTTGCACCTGGATGTAACAAAGCTGTTGCTAAAACCTCTACTGCTTTTTTCATCACTGTAAAAAAAAAAAAAGACACAATAGTTCCTAGCTTATGATGCAGGAGTAACTGTAAGCATAAATGGCATCATTTTGGGAGTCTATACTCCATTTGACTCTGTGTTTAGACTTGATAAGCCTAAACTATAAATTTCTGCACTGAACAAATATTCTCTAAACGAGAAGATTTTGTTTTGTGAAGACATAAAAAGAAACAATAATTTTCAAGGATTTCTTGAGCCTAGGGCACCCCAAAAATTTAGACAAGTTAGTTCATTACAAAATATTGTTTAAATCTATATCTAGATATCTGTATGGAATAATTCTCATCAGTTGATTATCATTTAATTCTTGATATTTCTTATCACCAACTATATTTGTTCTATTTCATTTATTCTTTCTATTTTTTCTGGGAGGCAGTCTTGTGTGTGTGTGTGTGTGTGTGTGTGTGTGTGTGTGTGTGTGTGTGTGTGTGTGTGTGTGTGTGTGTGTGTGTGTGTGTGTGTG